CCATGTCATTGAAGAATGGGATTGGTATTTGTATTGGGATTGCACTGAATATGTAAATTGCCTTTGGTAATATTGCCATTTTCACAATATTGAGTCTTCCTATCCATGAGCAAGGGATATTCTTTGTCATTTTCTTTGAATAGTTCCTTTGTGCTTCTGGTTAGATTTATTCCCAAGTATTTAATCTTGTGATTAGCTATTGTGAAGGGTATTGTTTTTCTGAGCTCCAGCTCTGTATTCTCTTTGTCACTGTAAGAAATCCAACTGATTTTTGTACATTGATCTTGTATCGTGCTACTTTGCTGAATTGGTCAACTATGTCCAGTAGTTTTCTTGCTGAGTCTTTAGGGTTTTCTAAGTACACTATCATATCATCTGCATAGAGAGATAATCTTACTTCCTCTTTGCCAATTTGGATAGCTCTTATTTCCGTCTCTTTTCTTATTGCTATCATTATGACTTCCAATACAATATTGAATAGGAGAGGTGATAGTGGGCATCCTTGCCTACTTCCTGTTCTTAAAGGGAATGAATGCCTTTAACCTCTCTCCATTGGGAACAATGTTGGCTCTTGGGTTTTCATAAATAATTTTTAAAACTTGTTTATTTTTAATGCTGAATAGTGGTGTGGACTGGGGGGATTGCATAGCAATGAAAGAGTTTTTCTTTCTTTTCAAGGAGAAGAGAGAATGCGGGGTATGGAGAAAAGTGCAACAATGAATTATTGGAAACTCTGTCTCTGTAAACTTTGATTAATGGAAAAAAAGAAAAAACTTGTTTACTTTTAACCTTCTTTTTGCTAAAAACACATTTCTTATTTTATAATTGTGATCAAGCAGGGAGAGAAATAATTTAGATGGCTGGCTTTGTTAACTGGTCAATTTCCTGGAGACTTCTAAAATGACCCTTCAGCTAAAAACTAGAAGAGGATTATTGTTTGATGACACTATTATACAGAGACTTTGTATACCTCTTCCTGTCCATTTAAGCAACTTCAAATCCACTTCCATTAAAGATAGTCCTCACTGGGGTAAGAAACCACACACAAAGCAAGTACAGGAACTGATGAAGAAAATATGTATTCACATACCAATAAGCCATCAGGAATGGCACCGCTGTGTGCCCAGCTGCTGAAGCCACTGTAACAATATGACCATGATTGTTCCTCATCATTGCTGGAAGAAATGCCTTTGTAGTCTAGGAAAGAGTTTTTGACAAAATATTTTTAAAAGAAAACAAGAACAATTTGTTATTTTGTGTCCTCAGAACAGTTGAAAATATTCTGAAACAAATGTTTGTTTTAAGTACTGTTTGTTGTTCATGGCAAACAAATAAAAAATCCTAGATTAACTGACAAAACGCAGTAGCATAAAGTAACTGGGTGGGATGCCAAGATTAAAATAATCAATATGGAAATGAAAACAGAAAGCTCCAAGAATCCTTCTTATTCAAATTAATTTAACATTTCATGTTTTTCAACCTTTCACTTCTCGACATCAATGTTTCCTATCATCTCACAGACTCATTAAAAGAATTTATAATATGAAAATTTCTTTAAAAATCAGGTGTTTATGTATTCAGAATGCTGAAGTGACTGGCAATCTTCTAGTGGCTCCTAAATATAATATTTATTGAGCATCGACTACATGCTGTGGTGCAGAAACAAATCAGACAAGGTATCTTTTTCCACATATCCTATATGTTAACTAATAAGGAAGGTAAATACATAAAAGTGAGAATATAAATGAGTCAATTAATTGGGAATACTAACATAAAAGAGAACTGTAGATTGTCCTAAATTCAGATCCAGGAAACCTTTCAAAGGGGTTTTTAGGAACTAGTCTTTTAACAGTATTCTGATACTTCAGAAACATACACATTCACATACTTTCAGACCTTAAATGTCGATGTTCATAACAAAATCTGCAAGAGTGCAACCTCTTCAGTACGGTTCTCATGAGAATTGGAAAGCAAAATGTGTTCACGTAATACAAAATCACTAAGGCCTCTGTTAAACCCTAATACTTTCCTTTATCCTGACCAGGATCAGTGATATGAGATCCTAGCTTAAAATTAAAATATACACAGCAACTGAAGTTTATTATTCGTATTGTTATATACATATATATATAGATATATAGATATAGATATACATATATATGTTGTTGTTGTTAAGTGCCGTTGAGTCGCAGGCGACTCATAGCGACCCTATGAAGGAGAGTCCTTGACGCTTGGGTGCCTTTCATCCTCTCTCCAAGTTCATAGGGTTTCCGGAGGCAAGCTATTATGGAAGTGGACGCCACTCCTCCTTCCACATCTCTTCATTACTCCATTAATTATGACTTATTCAAAGCCAAGTGTGTTCACCACCACAGGATGACAGACATGCCAGGTTTTACTGTAAACACTCAAAAGTTTTTAACTGGTGTAGGTGCTACCCTGGAAGTAGCTTCTCAGTTACTTTTCTCCCCTAAAATCCTTTCTTGGCCCTTTTGCCCAATTATCAAGTCGTTTTATGTCCTCTATATTTTTAAGCCCTTCAAACAATTCCAGTATGTTCCTTCAGATCCAAACTGAAACTTTGCAAGCTTTATCTCCTATCATTTAACCTTCCCCACCTCATCCCATGCCCAGTAACATAGAATCTACCTCTGTTCCCTATCAGTTTATGTTTATGCCTTTTGCTCTTGGTGTTAGTACTACATAAAATGTCCTTTACATCTGCCTCCACCTATTAGCTATAAACAACCAAAAGAGCACACAAATCTGTCTTGGAAGTGAAACCAGAGTATTCCTCAGAAATAAAGATGGTGAGACTTCATCTCACACCCTTTGGGAAGAGTCAGTCCCTGGAAAAGGATATCATGCCTGGGGAAGTATGATATGGATTGACACTGTGACTGCAATAATGGTTCGATGCTCCCAGCTGCTCTTCGGGAAAAGGATTGGGGAATCTCCTCCCATGTGATTAATTACCTCTGAAAACCCACTGGAGCATCTGTTATATGGGTTGGTTCCAACTCTAGGGTACACAACAACATGGATTGGTGGCCCAATGGTCCCTAACAGCATCTGTCAGCAAACTCTAGTCGGTCTTTAAAGAAACAATTCAAACAGCAATTCTTCAGAGAACCTTTGCCCGAGTTTTAAAGATATATATATAATTGATGGGTCATGGCACACACATAAACAAGGATTAATTTCTATAATTTTATCCCTAGTATCTAACGAAAACTTCTGTATTGATTTAACACTTTCTTTACATTTGCTGTAGGTTCCTCTTTTAATATAATTTTCAGGCTATAAAGTAATATTTTTGTAAAAGAAATTATACTTACCCAGAAATGGGCAAGAACATTAACTTCAAAAGTCTTTTCAATCTGAGGATCTTGTGTAGCAATCAAGTCTGCTGTGTAGACAACGCCAGCATTATTTACTAAAATACTGACATCTCCAATTTCTGCCTTTACCTTTAAAACAAAAATAAGAAAAATAGGCACAAAATTGAGAAATGTGAAGGTATATAATGGTTATTAAAAGAATATAAGTCTAAAAAGAAAAAGGATATGAGTTTGTAATGGTTGAGATTGTGTGTTCACTTGGCTGGACCATGATTCTTAGTGGATCGGCCGTTGTGATGTAATCATCCCTCAAGATGACTTCTGAGAGAATGTAATCACCTCCGTGATGAGATCTGTTCTGAGCAGCCAATCAGCTGAAAAGGTGTTTCATCTGGAGTATAGCCTGCATTTGTGGTCCTGGAGAAGAGTACTGAACATACCATGGACTGCCAAGAGAACTAACAGGTCTGTCCTGGAAAGGATGAAACCAAGCTATTCCTTGGAGGTAAAAAATTTCGAGATTCTGTCTCACATACTTTGGTCATGTAGCCAGGAGGGATCAGTCTTTGGAGAAGACTGTCAAGTCATGCTTGGAAGGGCCAAGGGATAGCACAGGAGAGGAAGACCCCAGATGAAACGGACTGACACAATAACAGGGGGAATGAGGGTAGGTGTGTCAGAGACAGTAAGATTTTCTCAGGATAGAGCAAGATTTACAGTTATTGTGCATAGTGTTGCTATGAGTCACGGTCAACTCGATGGCACATAATAACAACAACATGGCCTACATCCAATATTTAAAAACATTCTGGCCTTTGTTTGCTCTGGATTTTGGATAGGGCTCATTATCACTGACTTCCAGATCTTGGGATTTAAGCTAGTGCCTTGTGTCTTACCTGCTGATTTTATATCTGTCAGCATCTGCTGTCCATCAGTCAGCAACCTGCTATCCTATCTTATCTGCCAATTTGATTCATCGGCTCCTATACCTATGTGAATCAGAAGTTGCCAGCCTGATGTCTGATGCATGGACTTGGAACTTAACAGCCTAAATGACTAATAGGCAGTCGTGATAAAGGAAGGTGTTCAAGTTGCTCTGGAGAAGTTGACAAAAATCAAGGTCCCAAAACTTGATGGCACACCAACTGACATATTTCAACAAACAGATGTTGCCCTCAACAAGCTCACCAGGTGGTGTCAGGAGATCTAGAGGACAACTCTCTGGCCAACTGACTAGATGAGATCCATATTCATACCCATTCCAAAAAAAAAGGTGATCCAACAGATTGTGTAAATTATCCAACAATGTCACTAATATAACACGCAAGCAAAATCTTACTGAAGATTCTAAAAAAATGACTGGAACAAGTACTTCAACAGAGAACTGCCAGTAGTGCAAGGTGGTTTTAGAAGAGGTCCTGGCAATAGGAACATCACTACCAATTTCAGATGGATCTTGGCTGAAAGCAGAGAATACCAGAGGAATGTGTATTTGTGTTTCGTTGATTATACAAAAATATCTGACTGTGTGGATCACAACAAACTGTGACTAACATTGAGAAGAATGGTAATCCCAGAGTACTTGCTTGTGCTCATACAAAACCTATACTTGGACCAGGAAGTATTTGTCAGAACAAAGCAATGAAACACTGCATAGTTCAAGTTCAGAAAAGGAGTGCATCAGAGATTGGTCATTTCTCCGTATCTTTTCAATCTCTATGTGGAGCAGATAATTTGGGAGTCTGGACTGTATGAGGAGGAACGTGGCATTACAGATAGTAAAACCTTGCTGGCCAAAACTAAAGAGGACCTGAAGCATTTGCTGCAGAAGGTCAAAGACTGTAGTCTTCAACACAAATTGAAGCTCGACATTAAGGAAACAAAAATTTTCACCACTGGCTCAATTGACAGCACCATGATAGAGTAGAAGAGATTGAGACTGTTAGCAGCTTCAGCTCAACAATCACCACTGTTAGTTCCAGCAGCCAGCAAATCAGAAGACAAACTGTATTGAGAATATCTGCTGTTAAAGATCTCTTCAGTGTGCTAAAGAGCAACAACACCAGACTAGAGACTAAGGTATACCTGATCCAGTTCACAGCTTTCACAATTACTTACTATGCACCAGAAAGCTGGATAATGACTAAGGATGACAGAAGATTTTGTGCCTTTGAGTATGGAGCTGGAGAAGAGCACTGAACATACCATGGACTGCTAAAAGAACTAACAGGTCTGACCTAGAGAGGGTGAAACCAAGCTGCTCCTTAAAAGGCAAGGATTTTGATGCTTGGTCTTATATTCTGGGCATGTGGCCAGGAGGAGCAAGTCCTTGGAGAAGGATATCATGCTTGGAAAGGTGGATGGCCAGCACTGGAGAGGAAGACCCTGGATGAGTTGGAATGACATAGTAACTAGGGTAATGGGGTTAGATGTGTTGGAGGCAGTGAGATTGGCTTAGAAGAGGGCAGGGTTCAGAGATATTGTGTATAGGGTTGCTATGAGTCGCAGCCAACTTGATGGCACATAATAATAATTATAAACGCATGAGCCATCTCCTTGAGGTGTGTTCCTCTATCCCTATGTATGTGTGTGTACACATACAGTAGCTTAAGCAATTTCACTGAGAGATATCTTTCTCTCTCCCTCTCATAAAAATTATGTATTATATGTTGTTGTTAAGTGTCGTCGAGTCATAGGTGACTCACAGCAACCCTATGAGAGAAAGTCCTCAACACTTGCGTGACTTTCATCCTTTCTCCAGGTCCATAGGGTTTCTGGAGGTAAGCCATTTACAGAAGTAGATGCCACTCCTGCTTTCAAGCTTGTTTTAATGGATGAGCTGAACCAACACCATCCAACATGGGTAACAATTATCACATTTAACACATCAGTGTCATAGTGTATATATAACAATATATATGTAACTATTAATATTTTTGTAAAAGAAATTATAATATATATAACATATAATGTTGTTAAATGCCATCGAGCCACCTGTGACCATATGTACATAGTGACAATATGTACAACAGCCTTAAACCCTGCTTTATTGTCTCGACACACCCACCCCCATTACTCCAGTCATTGAACCAATCCATCTCACTGATGGTCTTCTTCTCTTGCACTGTTCCTCCTCCCTCCCAGGCGTTAAGTCTCTCTCCAAGGACTTGTCCCTCCTTGCAACATGTCCAAAGTATTTCAGATGAAGCTTCAGAATCCTTGCCTGGTTTCACCCTCTGTAGTACGAACCTGTTTGTTCGCCTGGTACACTCAATACTCTTCTCCTGCATCACAGCTCAAAGGCATCAATTCTCCTTCTATCATCCCTAGTCATTGTCCAGCTCTCTGATGCATAGCAAGTAATTGCAAAGACTGTGGCCTCGATCAGGTGCACCTTAGTGTCTCTCTCTCTCTCTCTCTCACACACACACACACACACACACACACACATTTGTATGTGTAAACACACATACAGATGCGTACACATAAGCTTCTATGGTGGTATTTATCCTAGAGAATCTTGCCAAAGGCAAGCTTTTCTCCTAGATGTTGTAGTAACTACCTATGTGTACACATTAAAACCCCCAAGGTTTTATTATTTTATTTTAGGCAATTATTTGCTGTCCATTCAGGAGATCTATTGGGGTAATCTGTAAGAAGCTGGGGTTCTAAATCAAAGTTAATACCTATTTGGCAGTTCAAATCCACCAATGGTTGCTCGGGAGAAAGAGAGATAATCTCCTTCCATGAAATTTACAGCCTCAGAAAACCCACGGGAGCATCAGCTATGAGTAGCTATGAGTTGGTTCCAACTCGATGGCAATGAAGTTTTAGGTTTTTATTGGCTTGTTTTGTTTTCATTGTGATTTTAGTGAATGTTTACAGAAAAGATGGGCTTTCATTCATTCAATGACATATTTTTCTCCAGCCCCTTTTCCTAATTCATTTTGTAATGCATATCTTGTCCAGATTGTTAAGTGTCGTGCTCATAATGTCTCATCACCCATTCCTTTCAGTCCTTCCCTTCACCTCATCTAGTGTAATGTTCAGTATAGAGCCATTCTTTCCCTGCCTCCTCCTGCATCTGTTTTTGTAACAGTGGTCTTATGCAGTATTTATCCTTTGGGGATTTATTTCCCTCAGCATAACTTCTAGACTCATCTGTGTTGCGTAGTGTTCTACAAGTTCACTGTTTTTTCATTCTACTTAGTCATTGTGTGAATGTAGCATAGTTTTTATTTTTTCCATGTGTTTGTCTACGGGCACTGTGGGCTACTTCCATCCCTTCATTCTTGTGAATAAGGATGCAATAAACAAGGGTGTGCATGCATCTGTTTGCATCATAGCTCTGGTTTCTTTAAGGGTATCTTCCCAGTAGTGGATAGCCGAGCCAAAATGTTATTTCTATTTCCAACTTTTTTAGAAGTGTCAGACTGCATTCCATTGTGGTTGTACCATTTTACATTCTCAGCGGCAGTGATTTAGAGTTCCAATCTCCACATCCTTGCCAGTATCTGCTGTTTGCTGTCCTGCTGAACACTACTGTTGTTGCTATAGTAAAATAATATTTCATTGTTGTTTTGATTTGCATCTCTCTAATAGCTAGGCATTTTGAACATTTCTGCATGTGTTTGTTGGCCATTTGAATTTTTTTCTTTGGTAAAGTGTCTATTCATATCTTGCACCCATTTTTTTGATCGGGTTGTTTGCCTCTTTCTTGCTGAGGTGCTACATGAGGCTCCCTTATATGTCATCGCAAAATACTTTTTCCAAGTCTGTGGGCTTTCTTTTTACCTTTTTGGGGAATTTTTTTTAAGTGAACATAAGGATTTCTTTTTACAAGCAAAACAGCAGCTCTGTCTGTAAGCCTGCAAGGGAGAAATCTGGTGTTGCAATTTAGTCTCTTGACCTTGCTCTATTTATTGGTTATAGCCCAGGAGACAGAGAGTTCTGATGGCTTAGAGGTAAGGAGCTGCACTCCAAACCCGCCACTTTCCCAAGCATTATGTCCCTTTCCAAGGAATATCCCCTACTAGCAACAATGTCAAAATATATGAGAGGAAGCTTCAATATCTTTGCCTCCAAGGAATACCCTGACTGCACTTTATCCAAGACAGATAATGTTTACT